TTTTCCTTTCACTGCCCAAAAAACGCGGGCCAAAGCCCCTTGCTTGTTTTTTTCCCAGGAAAGAAAAAAAAGAAAAATGTTTTGGATTGTAATTTTAAAACCCAAAAAACCAAATTCCCGGAAAATTTAATTTTGGGTTTTCTAGGAAATCCCCCCCCCTGCCTGGAAAATTTTTGTGGCCCCCCGGGGGCCCCATCCCGGAAAAAGAAATCCCCAGGGGCTTTTTCCCCCCTTTTTAAGGGGACCCCCGGGTTTTAAAAGAAAATAATTTTCCCCTTTACATTTTTAAAAACCTCTGAAAAACATCAGAAAAATTTTTAAGGGCGGGTTTCACCCAAAAGGGTTTTGATTTCCGCTAAAACCCCCTGAAAGGGTTTCCCCCCCCCGCGGGATAAAACGGGAAAAAGAAAATTTCCCCAGAAACCCCCCCCTTGTCATGGGAATTTTCCCCAAACCCCCCTTGTTCTGTTTTCCTTTAAAAAATTGTGTTTTTTTTTGGGGGTCTTGGTTTTTTGTCCCCCCTGGACTTAGTTTCTTTTTTTTCCCCCTTTGGTTTCCCTGACCCCCCAACCCTGCCCCCTTAAACCAAAGGCCTTTCTGGTTTTTACCCCCTTTGTACAACTTTTTTGGGTTTTTTCCGGGGCTTTCCCAAGTATAAACCCTTCCCCTTTTTTACCCCCCAAAAAACTACCCCCTTTTTTTTTCCCTGAACAGGGGAAAAAAAAACTAAACCCCCCCAACTCTGGGAAACGGGGTTTTTCCTCGTTGGACCCCCCCCTTTTTTTCCCCCAAAATTTTTCCCCCTGCCCGAAAAATCGGGGGAAAAACCTTTAAACAAAATTTTTTTTAGTCCCCAAAAACGGGGAAAAAAAAAAAACCAAAAAGGTTCCCATCCGGGCTCAACCTTTTAAAAAACAAAAGTTTTTAACCCAAAAACCCCCCATTTGGGGAAACCCAGGGGAAAGGAAAAAAAAACCCAGAAAAACCCTAAAACCCAAATTTTGTTTTTCCTGCGGGAAAAAAAAAATTTTCCTTTCCCTATTCCCCCGAGGGGGGCCAATGGGTTTTTAATTCCCCCTGGTTTAAATTTTTTACCAAATAATTATGTATTATACATGGTGATCATATCCCCCCTTATGTATTATACATGGAGATCATATCCCCCCTTATGTATTATACATGGAGATCATATCCCCCTTATGTATTATACATGGAGATCATATCCCCCCTCATGTATTATACATGGAGATCATCTCCCCCCTTATGTATTATACATGGAGATCATATCCCCCCCTTATGTATTATACATGGTGATCATATCCCCCCTTATGTATTATACATGGAGATCATATCCCCCCCCTTATGTATTATACATGGAGATCATATATCCCCCCTTATGTATTATACATGGAGATCATATCCCCCCCTTATGTATTATACATGGTGATCATATCCCCCCTTATGTATTATACATGGAGATCATATCCCCCTTATGTATTATACATGGAGATCATATCCCCCTTTTGTATTATACATGGAGATCATATCCCTCCCTTATGTATTATACATGGAGATCATATCCCCCCTTATGTATTATACATGGAGATCATATCCCCCCCTTATGTATTATACATGGAGATCATATCCCCCTTATGTATTATACATGGTGATCATATCCCCCCTTATGTATTATACATGGTGATCATATCCCCCCTTATGTATTATACATGGAGATCATATCCCCCCTTATGTATTATACATGGAGATCATATATCCCCCCCTTATGTATTATACATGGAGATCATATCCCCCTTATGTATTATACATGGAGATCAATATCCCCCCTTATGTATTATACATGGCGATCATATCCCCCCTTATGTATTATACATGGAGATCATATCCCCCTTATGTATTATACATGGTGATCATATCCCCCCTTATGTATTATACATGGAGATCATATCCCCCCTTATGTATTATACATGGTGATCATATCCCCCCTTATGTATTATACATGGAGATCATATCCCCCTTATGTATTATACATGGTGATCATATCCCCCCCTTATGTATTATACATGGTGATCATATCCCCCCTTATGTATTATACATGGAGATCATATCCCCCCTTATACATGGATTATATCCCCCCTTATGGAGATCATATCCCCCTTATGTATTATACATGGAGATCATATCCCCCCTTATGTATTATACATGGAGATCATATCCCCCCTTATGTATTTACATGGTGATCATATCCCCCCTTATGTATTATACATGGAGATCATATCCCCCCTTATGTATTATACATGGAGATCATATCCCCCCTTATGTATTATACATGGTGATCATATCCCCCCCTTATGTATTATACATGGTGATCATATCCCCCCTTATGTATTATACATGGAGATCATATCCCCCCTTATGTATTATACATGGTGATCATATCCCCCTTATGTATTATACATGGAGATTCATATCCCCCCTTATGTATTATACATGGTGATCATATCCCCCTTATGTATTATACATGGAGATCATATCCCCTCTTATGTATTATATACATGGAGATCATATCCCCCCTTATGTATTATACATGGTGATCATATCCCCCCTTAATCTCCTCTTCTCAAGAAAAAATAAAATTCAGTTCCTCTAATCTTTCCTCATAGCTGATCTCCTCCATGCCTCTTATCAGTTTGGTTGCCCTTCTCTGCACTTTCTCCAGTTCCCCAATGTTCTTTTTGTGAATCGGTGCCCAAAACTGAACTGCATATTCTTTTTCTGTTATAGTGAACGCTGTAGGCTTCAGGATTTCTTCTTTTTTCTTTCCCAGTCACTATGATCCCCAGGATGTGGATTACACAGACAAGCATTAAAAAATTGATAGAGACACCTTCCCCATTCTATCCAAAAATGTAACCACAGAAATGTGCAATGCATCCCTCCCTGTTCACTACCTAGATCAGAGGGTAGGCAGCCTCAGCCCTCCAGCTGTGATGAGACTACAAATCCCATCATGTCTCTGCCTCTGGGAGTCATACCTGTGCAAGTCAGTCTTGCAATGCCTCGTGGGACTTGTAGTTCCACAACAGCTGGAGTGCATAGCTTGCCTACCTCTGATCTAGATTACTAGATGATAGCAATGCAGCACAAAGGCAAGGCCAATCAGGTGATTCACCAGTAGCATAGATTAAAGTATTATAAAACGTTTATAATGTGTCAGTCGTTTACAATGGCTATATAGTTATGTTATATTGATGTTTACACATCCTCAGAGGATGTACCTTGTTCCACCCCCACCACTTCCACTGGGGAGGAAGGAACTGCAGGATATCCAATGCCGTCTCCTTCACGATGAGAGGATTAAGAATGCGAAATTGATGTGACTTCAGTGGGAGTTTTTCCGTCACACTCTTCCAGAAGAATAATCTGTTCCATGCAGACTGAAAAACAAAAGTAAAAGATGAATGAAGAAAAGATATAAGGATACAGTTGTGGCTGCCACTGACGCTGAGACCCGTACTGCGTAATTGAGGCATGTTTAGGTTTTTGTACTTGCAGAGAGCAGACATATTAGTGAATGGAAGCGCATCAGCTGTGTCCACTCCCTTGCACAGCTGAGTATTATTAATATTATTACCGTATTTTCCGGCGTATAAGGCGACTGGGTGTATAAGACGACCCCCTAATTTTCCAATTAAAACATAGGTTTTGGGCTATACTCGCCGTATAAAACTACCCCCCTTCCGAGGCAACACCATTTAGCCACTAGCCTACAGGGCACTTATACCCACTTCCCCCCCAGGCCAATTTTCAGCTTTCAGCACTGTCACACTTTGAATGATAATTGCACGGTAATGCAACACTGTACCCATATGAAATAGGTGGCACTGATGGGCACTGATGAGGAGGCACTGGTAGGTGGCACTGATGGGCACTGAAAGGCAGCACTGATACATGGCACTGATAGGTGGCACTGATAGGCAGCACTGACTGGCACTGATAGGCGGCACTGATGTGCACTGATAGGCGGCACTGACTGGCACTGATAGGCGGCACTGACAGGCGGCACTGACTGGCACTGATAGGTGGCACTGATTGGCAGCACTGATTGGCAGCACTGATGGGCATTGACAGGCATCACTGATGGGCACTGAAAGGCAGCACTGATACATGGCACTGATAGGCGGCACTGATGTGCACTAATAGTGGCACTGATTGGCATTGATATGTGGCACTGACTGGCACTGATGGGTGACACTGAAAGGCAGCTCAGATGGGCACTGATATGTGGCACTGATGGACACTGACAGCTGGCATTGCTGGGGCTAAACTGATCATCAGGGACACAGCGCATCACCGCGCATGTGCGGAGAATGGGAGGACGTCATATGAGCCAATCACAGCAAGTGATGTATTCTATTAATGAATACAGAGCCTGCTCGGATTGGCTGCGTCAGAGAGGCGGGCTGATGATGTCACAACTTCAGCCAATCCGAGCAGGCTCTGTATTCATTATTTGAATACATCGCTCGCCGTGATTGGCTCAGCGCAGTACACTGTTTGTAGCTGAAGCTACCGTACATTATTACCGCAATCCAGCGGTTCTATACCAGGCATATAAGACGACCCCCAATTGTTGGGGTATGTTTTTAAGTAAAAAAAAAGTTGTCTTACACGCTGGAAAATACAGTATATTATTATTATTATATAGGATTTATAGATATTATTATTATTATACAGGATTTATATAGCGCCAACAGTTTGCTCAATGCTTTACAATATAACGGGAGGCAATACAGTAACAATACAGTTCAATACAAGAGGGATAGGAGGGCCTGATCCTTGGAGCTTACAATCTAAGATTATGACAGGTATGTAGGGACAAGTCCACAGCCCCTAATGCAGAGCCCATGCATCCAGGTCTACACACTTATCCCTGCATACCTGACAATCTCGGAAGTGCGAATGAGTTTATACAGCCCATGCACTTCCATTCACTAAAGTGCTTCTAAGCTCTAAAGGGCCAAAGCACACGACATGCGTTTCAGCTGCTTCTTTCTGCATCCAAAATGCACAGAGAGTAGGTTATATGGTTGTCAATGTCATAGTTGACATCAGTGCTTGCAGTTCCAGTGCGTTCCAGTTGCAGAAAAAAAAAGTAGAACAGGCTGCGTTTTTTTCCTGCACAGAACTGCACTGGAACGCGCAAAAACACATCAAAAACGCACTGGAACGCACCAAAAAATGCACTGGAATGTCCCTATTTAAATTGAAGAAAAAGAGAGGGGGAAAAATGGACTGGAACACATAAAAAAGCACGAATGTGAAAACGCATCTGCAAGGGAGAATGTCACCAGCACACCGAGGATCACCAATATGGGTCCAAAAGTTTTAATGAATGATCACATAGTTACAGCAAGGCAGCGTCACATGCCTGATGAAGGGGTCCTGCGAGACTCTGAAACGTTGCCTTGCTGTAACTATGTGATCGTTCATTAAAACTTTTGGCCCCATATTGGTGATCCTCGGTGTGCTGGTGACATTCTCCCTCGCCGATTCTCATTTTGTTCGGTTCCAGCCAACGGTCACTGCAGCACCCACTTATACACACAGCCATTTTTTTGCAGGAATGTGTGCGTTTGGATTGTATACTTGCGGAAAGGCATCTGGAACGCATCTGGACAACCCTAAGGGCTAATTCACACTAGATGCAGTTCAATCAGCTTTTTTTCTGCATCAAAAATGCATGCACAGTGTTTTCCATGCATTCTAATGGCCCTGGTTCACACTAGTGCAGTCATCTCCAGTCAGTTTCCGGTGCAGAAAAAAAAAGTAGAACATGCTGAATTTTTTCTGTACAGAACCATACTGGAACATGACAAACTGCATCAGAACGGCGAGTGGTGTGAAATGCAAGCAAAAAACATATCTAGAATGCATCCAGAGTGCTTTTCTGTAGTGTGAACTGACCACACTATAGAAAAGCAGTTCAGATGCGTTCCTGATGCATTTCCGCATGTGCATTTTTGACGCGTTTTTGATGCATTCTAGTTCAATGTTTCCCCTCTTTTTTTTCTTCAATTTAAATAGGGACATGTGCATTCCACTGTGTTTTTAATGCGTGTTGGTGCATTTCTGTGCATTTTACTGTGTTCCAGTACAGTTCTGTGCAGAAAAAATGCAGCCCGTTCTACTTTTTGTTCTGCAACTGCAAGCACTGATGTGAACTATGACATTGACAACCATGTAACCTACTTTCTGTGCATTTTGGATGCAGAAAAAAAGCAACTGAAACGCATGTAGTGTGAACTGGCCTAAAGGTTTTTTCCCTAATGCATTCTCTGCATTAACCCTTTCGCAGTCAGGCCCTGCTCTCCCTATATGCGAATTGGGTGCGGTTTGAACCTCATTCAAATCCATGACATGTGAAATAACATTGCTACCTATGGTGCCTGTTCACATATGTCACTGGTGACATCATTGCTTACTACGTGTGAAATCTGTGAATGATCACCAAGATCACATGGTACAAGGCTATTTACAACAGCCTTGTACCATGTGACAAGGTGTGACCAATCACAGCTCACTCAGTATTTCTCAATGGCTGCAAGAATGCAGACAGAGAGAAAGAGAAATGATTGCTTTTACATCCTATATGGGTGTAAAAGCAATTACTGTAAAAAAAATAAATAAATCTTCATCACCCCCCACAAGTAGTACAGTGTCACCATGGTGACACTGTACTGCTAGGGTGACAGTATGTAAAAAAAAAAAAAAAAAAAACATAGATAATAATATAAAAAAATAAAATAAAAATGTTAAAAAAATGTTTAAAAATTATAATTTTTGGTTATAAACTAATTTGGCTTATTTCTTTTTTACTAAAAACATAACGGAATAAATTTTGGTCAAGATCTATGATGAAAGATTATTTATTTGCAAAATTTTATAAGAAAAACACTTTTTTAAAAATAAAAATAAAAATCCCAGCGGTGAATAAATACCACCAAAATAAAGCTTTATCTGTCTCAAAAAAATGGTAAAAAATTCATATGGGTACAGTATTGCATGACCACGCAATTGTCATTCAAAGTGTGATAGCACTGAAAGCTGAAAATTGCCCTGGACAGGAAGGGGGTAAAAGTGTCCGGACAGGAAGTGGTTAAATGATTTGGAGACTTTGGAGTTTAATGTACTGTACAAAGAATACGTGGATGCGATTAGAAAGAGTATGTGGATGTACAGGTGTTTAAGAAAATCTAAGACAAGAAGCTGGGACAGTCATTAACGACACCGTGTCCCTTCCAGAAGTTATTAGTGTTTTATGCTCAATGACTAAAGTTCAGTCTCTTTGAGTATGTATGTGTATGGAAGTCTGCTCTGGGATGGGTATACGTCTTACATTTAAAGAGGTAGCATCTGACGCCTCTATGGAAAAGTTGGGGGTGGGTCAGCAATTTTACTCCCCACAAGCTAGTAATGAAAAAGTATAATGCTACTTTGAAAAAACAACCTACTGCCTTTTTGGATTTACAGGAAAGAAAACAACTGATGCATTGAGTTTAGAGCTTCAATGGGGATCTGGCAGTGAAAAGAAACACTTGAGATCAGCTGATGTCTGATGCAAATCCATTAGAGATTCAGTTAAAAATTTATAAACAAATAAAATCTGAAAACAAAGTTCACTATTTGGTGCTTATCCAAAAAGTAAAAGTTCAAATGCTTTTTAGGTGTCCCTGATAGGGTTGCCACCTCGTCCCTTTAAAAAACCCAAACACATATTAATTACACAGGTCCTGTGGCTAATTAAGGTGGTAATTAAACTTACTTAGTGCCTTATCTGCATTAAAGTAGCCCCAGTACCTGTGGAATTAATGTGTTCGGCTTTAAAGGGACGAGGTGGCAACCCGATCAGTGACACACCTAAAAAGCATTTGAACGTTTACTTTTTGGATAAACACCAAATAGTGAACTTTGTTTTCAGATTTTATTTGTTTATAAATTTTTAACTGAATCTCTAATGGATTTGCATCAGGCATCAGCTAATCTGCTTTGTCAAGTGTTTCTTTTCATTGCCAGATCCTGAGCTAAGGACACTCAATGCAATCTCTAGAGACTGTGGTGTGGTCAAGCAGCAACTTATCAAGTCTCTCCAGCCTTGCTGGTACACGCCTTTTTAGGTATTGCTGACAACTCCAACAGCCATCAAGCTTTAGGGTGAAGCAGCCCATTGATTACATGACTTTCTTTCCTTCAACCACGGGTAGAAAGAAAATAGCTTGATTCCCCCATCAACACAGTTAGTGGCGGGCAGAATTGAGATGCCAAATCACACTGCAATTGTAGCAAAATGCACCACGCTTGTTTGGATGCCATTCATCTTCAATGGCTCCTCAAATACAGTGCAATTTTACCACGATTGTTGACTGCCACATGAATTTGTTGCGTGACAAGAGCGGAAAAATCGCATCACGTTTGAGGTGCCATTAAGAATGAATGACACCCAAAAAAAGCATGGTGCGTATTGCCACGATTGCAGTGTGATTTGGAATCACAGCGATTCTGCTGTGATTCAAATCGCAAAGTGTGCATGGGGCTTATGGATAGCTGATGAGCAGAAATGGTCAGGCAGATGATTGGACTCCGACTATGTGCTGTGTGTCCAGGCTGTGTGTGTGTACAGTGCATGGAGGAGCGATGGCAAGGCACATTGTCATGGGTGATGTTTGAGGAGCATTGGTGGGGGGCACTGAAGTAGGTCGCATTCATAGCCGCAAGTTTGCAATTTTGTGTTGGGTCACATGCACTTGCGGGCCATGGGTTGCACACCCCTGAGTTAGGAAAAATATTACTACTACAGTCAATGTGTTTTATACAGTGAGCCCTTCATGGACAGGATTGGGAATCTACATGATCTGTAAAATGAATTACTGTATATGCTAGCACGGGTGTCAATTGGCGTCCCATGAGGCATTGCAAGATTGACAGTTACAAGCATGACTCCCAAAGGTAGAGGCATGATGGGACTTGTAGTTTGGCAACAGCTGGAGGGCCACCAGTTTGACACCCGTGCTAGAGAATTGAGAAAGGAAGGGATATAATGCACAGAGTGCCAGCATCCCTAACAAATACAAGGGGGGGGGGAAAGTCCTCTTTTTTGGTGGGACTTTAACGGCACAATTTACTTATATGGTAAATTTCAACAATTCAAAAAAGATTTTTTTTTTTATAAAAACAATATGAAATTTTATTTTTGTCATCAAAGATGGTATTGAAAATCTAATCATGATTAGATTTGCAATACCATCTTTGATGACACTGCGCAATATGTATTGTAGCTTTATCTTTATTTTTGAAGATTGTA